ATTTGCGCCATTGCGTCAAATTATTTGGTTAGAAGTTGGGAAAATGTGATTTGTTGCAGTGATCTTTAGAAATTTGGTGCAAATGAAACGTGGCGCTTTTGTTAGCATATCATGAGAAAAAGTTGACGCTCTCGGTGCTCTGAAAGAGCCTATCTACTAGGAAATTTGGAATAGCAAGACAACACTTAACTAACTCAGATGCTCCGAATTCTGACCGAAATCAAATGCTGAACAATCAAACAAGTCAGTCAAATCTCAAGAAAAGATCTCAAAGAGAAAAATCATGATTCAACATGATAAGGCCGCATGTTTCGAAGGCCACTCGTTCTAAACTAAACTCATTTGAATGGGAGTAAACCCATCCAGCATACAGCCCTGATCTTGCACCTTTTGACTACTTTCTCCAGGCGATGAGCAATCATTTGGCCAAAAAATTGATTTCGAAGCTGATTTCAAAAAGGGCCTCACGGATTGGTTGGCAATAAAACCAAAAATTTTCGACCAGAGAGGCATTCAGTCTTTGCCAGTAAAATCGGCTCAAATTATGGAACATATTTAGAAGGATTGCCGGCCCAATATTGAATAAATCATTTGTTTATTCTTTTTGCCACATTTCACATCCACCAACTAGACATGGGAAAACTCCAAGCCGAACCTAATTCCACCGTCGTATCTCGGTCGTTTCTTTGCCGATCGCTCTGAAATTGTGGCTACAAGCTGAAAATGTCGATTCCTATCCGTAGGATTAATTGTGAAAACTTACAGACCTAGTAAAAAAAGTTTTACTAGCCCGTTTTATCTTGCATGTGTAAATTGTGAAACGAAAACGAACCACACAACTGAAAGCAACACAAACACGCCTGGAAACAATCACACAAGGGAAAAAGGAAAAGATTGTTGTTATGAGAATAATTTTTAGTAAATAAAAGCAGATCAATGGCAAAATCAAGGTTAATAAAATGAACACTTTGGCACACAAGAAAGTCTGCAAAAGGCGGAAAATATTTGAAAGGAAATCACAAACGCCATTCGAGCGAGCCATGAAAACTGAGAAGAATTGAAAAAACCCTCAAAAAATCTTCAGAAATCACGAAAAAGCAAGAGCAAAAATCCGAATATACTTATGGATACGATGCGTCAAAATCGATTAAGATGAGCTTTCCGTCCTCGGTTCCGTTTCGCGGTTCAACTGCACAGACGAGCAATGTTCCGGTGGCTTGGCAATCCCAAATACAACTGGCTGCCTGAACACGAACGAGGTCCCGAACAAAGGTACCTGAAAATCATAAAAATTCTTGTATAGTTGATAAAAAACTAACAAAAGAATACTAACCCTGAATATCGATTTAAACTTGAATAGTTAATAGTCAAGCTATGTAGTCAATAAATTCTACTTTAGAAGAAAACTCGAAGTCTGGACAAATTTGCTTATCTAAGAGCCTACGTAACTAGGTAATTTGGAACAACATACCTTTATTCACATCCCACAGCTTGACCGAACCATCGTTAGAACTTGTTACCAAAAGTCCCGAGTCGTACAATTGCAATGAAATGACGATGGATGACGTGTGACCATTTACGCCTTGCAGGCGATGAATGCACGAACCACCGTCACGAATGTCCCAAACCTACAGAAAAGGAAGTAGTTGCCATACGATTGATTAAACGTACCCCAACGTCCGAGCTGGTATAGCAGGAGACCAAAATATTTCGGCGAAGCTGCATGTCAAAGCAGGAACTTTTATGAGTGACAAGAGTCGCGATGCATGCTGAAAGAAACAAATATCGAGGACATTGTAACAAAATAGCGAACAAGTAAAACCCACTTCCTCTTCGAACATCCCAGACGCGCCTCGTTTTATCCTTACTTCCCGAGACGACAAGATCGCGCTCCGGCTCAAACTAAAACAGAATCCTGATTAAAGCCAAAAATTGACCATTCAACCCACCAAAAGTGATTCGACTGGCTTCGTGTGACCCGTCAACGTGTGCAAACACTCCCCCGTCTGCACATTCCAAACCTTATAGAATATTATAAAATTGAACAAAAAAGCATTACAAACCTTTACAGTAAAATCACAGGCACCAGAGACAACCCGTTTTCCATCAAATTGTACACAACGCACCTGAAATTTAACTTTGCTGAAGCTATAACTTTGATAAACATACCTCCGCCAAGTGGCCAGTCAAAATGTGAAGGCATTTCCCGTCGACAATGTCCCAGACTCGAAGTGTTTGATCGCGCGATCCAGAAACAAGACTAAAACATTATTATTTTAGCTAAAGCACCAAATTTAGATAACTCACCTCGTGCCATGTAGCCCCATGCATCGAACAGTCCTTGTATGCCCTTGCAGAACATGACGCTGTACACCGGTTTGACGACACCAAACGCGCACTGTTCGAGCCGAGCCACTTAAATATTGCAATCGATTTTGTTGTCACAAGTATTTTTGTCTAGAAAATTGTGAGCTTCTTTGGCAACACTTATGGATTGCACTAGCTAGAGTCTATTAACTAACCTGACAATGTATTTGCCATCATCGCTCACTTCAGACATCCAAACATCACCCATATGGCCAGTTAGAGTGAAAGCCGGCTAAATTAGGACGTATAATAATGGTAAAACGAAACAAACTTGCACATCATCAACGTTCCAAACCCGCAACCTACCATCTTCTGAACCAGTAACGATAAGTCCTGAGTGAATTTGTAGACCAGTGATGTCATGTTCATCGTGGCCCTAAAAACAATTTTTATAGCCAAAACATTTGTCCTAACCTTTAGAACAGTGCTTGATTGAATCGGTCGGGATCGCCAATTGGAAATGATTCGCTGCTTCCGCAAGTACAACGACTTCCATGACGATCGCTCATAACATCTAGAAAAAACTTAATTTAGCAACAAGTTGCGCCACAAACTGTCCATATGCGATTCCGCGTTCTCGTCGATTCTGCTGTGCTTCTTGAAGGTCCATATGTGAGACGATTGTGATTCCCGCTTCCTTATTTGCTCGATTCGTCGCCCAACCTCCGAGAAAACGAAAACTGAACAAAGAGAAGTTAGTGACAAGCTTGTGACGAATCCTTTACTAGTCGTATTCTTAAATGCGATCCAGTTCATCGAAACAAACATATGATTTGTTTTCTTTGGCTATAAATCTTTGTTTGCTGCAGAATTAATAACAGTATCATCCTATACCTTAGAAGTGTACGATCTAGCTTAATCTAAATCTATCAGATATGTATTTTTAAATGTTATTTTATTTTCTCAAAACTGTAACACACCTTGGTGCATCAAATTTCACATATCCTTTCTCCAAACATTTCTGTCGCCACGTCCGATCATCTTCACAAATTCGCTGCCACGTCCGCGAAACGCCAGCACAAACCGTCAAATCGCGCGGTGTCAGATGAGCGATGATGCGATAAGCAACCTAAAATTAAACAATTAATTCAACACG